TATGATAGATTTCATTACATGAGGAAAAAGGAAATTTGAGAAGCTGGACCTTATTAAAGAAGACATTAAATGGTCGCAGCTGCCAATTACAAACAAAAATCAATCGAGTAAAGGAAGAGATTGAGGCAAGAAAAATTGATGTAACTGGCCTTATGGGTATTAATAACAATTGAAATTTAGCTTTTAGAGAGCTTCCCCTCAAAGCTCATTGACGTATACAAGAACTGTACTCATCATTAGCCGTTGCGACAGTTTTTAGTTGAATGTTTATTTAAAGAACTTGTAAAATTCAGATTACTGTGGGACTAGGGTTGTAGCCTTTTGAGGAGCTTTTTAAAAAATAGTGTCCCCAATTAGTACTTTTAGTACTTTCATGCTAAATGCATTGACACCCAAATAAAGTGCATTTGTTTCAAGTGCATCTTATAATCAAGCCCAAGTAAACAAAAAAACTGAGATTAAAATCAAAGCAACCAAGAACAGCACCAACAGAAAAGAAACTGTAAGTACGAATTGTCAAAAGGTACCCCAAATTTCAGGTGAGGATCTCAAGAAGGAATAGATTTAGGTCAAGAATAGGCTTATGAAAGAAGATGGGGAGGCAAAGAACATTAAAATCATTAACGGGCATAGATAATTGTAAGTTAAAACAGAGACGACAAGGAACTTTCCTTTGAACCAATTAAGGTATTCATACTGCTACAAGAGTTGTACTCATCATTCGCCATTGCGTCAAATTTTATTATCTCTTTTAAAATTGAGTTTACTTCACCGCTTATTCAAATGAAATGTCTGTGTTTATTTCTCCCTTTTCAATTTTCTGTTGATGCAAGGCTCTAACTATTAAAAAAATCTAAACAATCAGATGATGGCCACATGTGCTTTCATGTATAAACAATTCTTCCCCTACAATATTAGAAACAAACAAAAAAACGAACAGCAAGTCGACAGAAAAAGATGTAATACATGACTTTCTAGCCAGCAGCCTGTGCTTTTACCTTACCTTTAACTGGATGCAAACACAAGATTCATAGACCAGTCCAAGGAGCAAGTCATCGAGAAGCACGATACGACTCTCAACCAATATGGTCATCATCTCAGCTCTGTAACATTGAATAACCCGAGTTCCAAGAGGGTTTGCTTATAGCCACTAGATGGCACCTATGACCACCCAACAACACACATTGGCAGCATTTATCTGCGAACAAACACTTTTCCTGTGACAGTACAGAGCATACAAGGTGCAGAGGAAAGGTGACAGAACACTTGGTTCCTTCAAATGATTCTCAAGATGAGGCAGGTTATGTTGATCACTAAGATGACTTATGAATATATGAGGGGAACTACTATAGTGGAGACTAGAACTGATAATGGCTGTTTGCAAGTCTGTTCTGAGTATTGAAGACTGGCGTAAGGAGAAGAGAGAAGTTAAGAGAACAGAGCCTGGTTATGTGACAACACCTTTAACTGCATGTGACTAAAACCATATTGATTACAATTCACTTAGCTCCAAGTCCCTTTCCAATTTAAACATTTTGTCACAACCAACAAACTTGAGTGAGGACTGTGAAATTCAACCACCAGAATTTTCTGAGGGACCGATTGACTCATAAATTCCATACATTTTCCTATTAATAAACTTACAGCATGTGACTGCATGATCAGTGATGCATCATGGTTGGTGGGGGTGGGTAGGGGGGGTTGCTTGGGAGATTGGGTTTGGGCAAAGTTCCAAATAGCTAGCAAATAGTCGCCCGTGTTATTCAAGCTAAATCTTTGAATAAACCCTGTACTGTACAAGAACACAGCAAGCTGAAAAAGTCGACACAGCTGGTGTTTAACCTCTCATTTTGCAACTAGCTAGTGTGCCATTTTGCTCACTAGCATGTCATTTTGCTCACTAGCGTGTCATTTAGCTCAGTCTAACAGTGCATTGTTTCATGGGACAAGATCCTTTGTGTTTCTTACACAATGAAAACAAGAGAAAAATTTTGATCACCTGTGTCTTATAGCATACTTCTCACAGGCTTGGGTGTTTTTTTGCACACTCCCTATTGTTTAGCATGTCCACGCAATCTCCTTATTCCCTGAAATCCATTCGAGGGTCACATATTTAAATTTGGTAGTCCCAGTGAGGTTTAATTAACAAAAGCCTTAATTTGCACAAGAAAGCAATACCCTGAAGGATTCTGGTCATAGCAGTGAAACGACACCATGCGAATGGCCTATTGCAAAAGGAATAAATTGAATGAAGGAAGAGATTGACGCAAATAAGAAGATGAGTGGAGACTGGGAAGCATAAAAAAATTGAAGTAATTGACCTTCGAGGTATAGATAATTGAACTTTTACAAACACAATGGGGAACTCCCCCACAAAACTCATTAATGTTTTCATACCACATCAAGAACTATAATCATCATTAGCCATTGCAACTATTCATACTCCATAAATATTTAGTGGCATTCCAGATGACGTCACCAGCATTATTTAAGGTTGAATAATTATGCAAATATTATCATTTGCCAACTACGAGTAAGGAGTGAACTCTTTTTCAAAATGACCGGCGGCAACTCCGAAAGAGGTTCGCGATGCTGTTGCTCCAGTTTCTGGAATTCAGTCATCACCTTTGAATTCTTTTGGATCTTCTACTGCATTTTCCAAGCCTCAAACTTTGGCAATGTAATACAAGAACACTAGCAGTCAGACTGGCGATAGTAACATTCCTTTAGCTTCGGCCAGCAAAGCTGGAGAATCAAGCAGCTTAAGGGTAATTAATTGGTTTTGGTCATTACATTGTTGGCTGTTTTCATACGCAGTTTCTCCAGTCTCTTGGTTAGATTTGTTGCTTGCCTTTTCTTGTTTGCACATGCGTTTAATATATTTAGGTTTTATTGCTGCAGGCACGTAGCGAGCAGCAGACCTATTTCACTCAGATACCAGTTTGATTCTTAATGTTTGTTAGTGGCACACTTTGCCTTGCTTTCGTGTAGATCAGCAACACAGCTGATCATTGCAACATTGGCTCAAGCATGAGCGTTCTCTTCAGCATCCTTTTGCATAGCTTTTTTTTGTAAAATTTGTGTTGAAACCTGTGTTTGGTGAGTATAATTTTGCAGTTTTGCGAGCAATTCTTTCCAGTGTATTGACAGTACTGACATTATCCGCACTAGCAATCTTAATGCTAACCATTGCTCCCTAAATTCGGAAATTTTCAGGAATTCTTGTCACACATGTAGTAGAGCAGGAAACCAATTAAGACATCAGTACTGGAAATCTCCCAATATTTTCTCAAAGAATTAAGAAATATGATAACTAAACCCTCTGCTCCCAGCACCTCACCTTCCAAAAGGAACTACTTGTCACTATTTGGTAATTACTTGGGCCTTGATTTGTTCTGTTTCATTTCTCCTTTCCTATGAGGAACCGATGTCTGTGTGGTTCCTGCCTGGTTCATGAACTGGTATTTTTTGTAACCACAGACCAGGTCAAGCTGTGCTTGTGGAATCCATAGTCGACTTGAGAGCTGAGCAGAAACCCATTTTTTGTTCATGGGAGCCGAGTTAGTGGTCTTGGCGGGAACTGGGTGCAACTTTTTGGGTAGTGTAAGGACCTGTGTAACCACTGTGTAATTAGAGTTCAAATGAGCCATTGACCAAGTCAGTGGTCCTTTGACGGGAACTGAGTGTGAGTTACTCAAAGTGCAGGGACCTGGGCACTAAAGTTCATGTGAGCCTTTGGCAGAGTCAACGGTCTTTGGTGGGAACTGGGTGCGGGTTAGTGCAAAGAATAAGAGCCTGAGGATTCAAGGTCTTGAGAGGCATTGACCAAACCAGGGGTCTTTGTCAGGAACTGACTACAAATTAACCTGACGAATTTTTTGAGTATGAACACCTGAACACCCGCTTTATCCTTGTTAGCACTAAGTTTTTTTTGTCTTTGCATTATATGTAACTTTTGTTTTAAAAAAAAGGTTCAGCTTTTTTCCCGTGAAGCGTGAAATGCCCATTTTATTTTTCGTGAATTCTGAAAGGACCGTTTTATTTTCCGTGAAACGTGATCTAGACCCCCCCCCCTTACCACCCTCTTACGTGTGCGGCATGGAAGGCCACGTTGCGCATTCATAACGGAATAAACTTGTTTGATATTAATGAGCTTTTGGTTGAATTGTTAAGAGATTGAACAAGTATTTTCATTGTAATGAACCTTGTAGTGCCTCTTTTTTGCAGTTTTTTTCTGTCTCATGTTGGCTTTTGACTTGGGTTAGAGATTGTCACTCCACAAGCGTCTTGCCTTTGGCATGCCTTGAATTCTCTTTAGAGGACTACAGATGTAATTTTTCTCTGAGCTTATCCAGTTGGCAGGAGGGGGATACCCACTTCTTTCCACTTTTGTGGTTTTTTCACTTTCCAGTGAATGGCCAAAAGGTGTAGACTAGATGTCGCTGTTGGAAGTGGGACTTCAATGAAGATTTTGTGGGTTTCCCTTTAGGGCTTACTGAGGTCAGAGGAAATGACATCCTTTAGAAGAATTCTTCCACGACATTGACAATGTGGTGGCTGGTGGGAAACCAGATGTCCGCCTCTTTAATTTCCTTTAGGGATTGGAGGTCTGAGGATTTGGAGATTTTGAGGTTTCGGGAAGAGCTTACAGCTCTTGTCATGACTCGAGATATGTTGGGGTTACCCAGTGTAGTGGAGTACCAACATGGTACGCTTAGTCCAGGGATGACCTCTCTACACCTCAATTGGATGCTACCTTCAGTATGGCACTAAGTAGATTATTATTATTTATTAATTTAACATGTGTGTGTGTATGTGCGTGTGTGAGTCCGCGGTCAAAGTTAGCCATCATAAGCCCATATTGTAATTATATTATCAAGACTAGTTTATCCTAAGTTGAGGACACCTGACTCATTATAAGCCTCGTGGTTTCTTTCAGGTCTCCTCACCATTTACTTTTTCTTTAATCTCATTATTCCAACCTCCCATTGTAAAATTTTGTATATAAGGCAAATAAAGAATGAATGAATGAATGAATGAATAAAAGGAATGCAGGAAGGTAATATACTATTTATACTCCATTAATTTTAGTAGTGTTCCAAATGACATCACTAGCATTATTTACGGTTGAATAGTTAGCCAAATATTACCATTTACCAACTAAGCGTAACAAGTGAAGTCGTCCCACCCTCCAACCCCTTCTTGCAGTGG